CCCCCCCCCCCCTTTTTTTTTTTTAGAATTTTAACTAATGTTAACCAGCAGGTCCCACATCACCTTGCTACATCTCTTCCCAAATCATTTAAATTCAATAGCTTAAACTTACTGTTCATTCCTTTGCCTGCAAACTAAGTCACTTCTTCAACCCATCAGTGAGGCTTGCTTTCTATGCCAACAGTGCAATTCTTCAACAGAGAGCATTGCAACAAATGTTTTTCGAGCTTTTCCTACCATAGATATTTTACAAACCTAGTTAGATCTTCAAATCAGTGTCGATTAGGGACGAAGATGCTGTACTCCTGGGGCTTGGGAAGAAAAGATACCTTCAGACAAGGACTTCTTTTGCTAGTGAGTCTGCTGGGGCCTGGCAAGTAGCCTCTGTCACATCTGGGCAGGTGCATAGCTCAGAATGGATGATACTGTGGAAAGCTCAGACCAGAGCTGAAAAGATGCAGATGAGCTGGACTTCTCCCAGCAAAGGCTCTGTCAGACATGGACCTCACCAACGCCTTCAGCATTTCAGTTTTATCTCGATACAAGCTAGGTGCCATGCTGCTCCCTTCACACTCACTAACTCTGCTGAGGGTCCAAGCCTGTTTAGGTCTTCTAGTTTATCTACTGTAATACAACCTATTTACAGTTAGATGCAATTCAGCCTTAATTATAATGGTAAGGAGCAAAATCCATTGCATTCATCCAAGGTGGCACATGACAGGCTTATGCCACCAGTGCCTGTGCCTACACAGATGCTCATTCACACTCACTAACTCTGCATTTTATCCTGTTCCCAAAGACAGGCATAACAGAGCTATAAGTTTTCATGGCAGCCCGTGAGCCCAGCCCTGCCTCCCTGGGCAGTACAGTTCAGCACCACAGGTTAACTGGAGCCAGGGCAGTGGGTGGTAACTATAAAAGAAAAAGAAAAATATTTGGCAGTCTTCATTTATTTTAGCTTAAACATTTTTTAATAAAAAACGAAACAAAAACCGAACAAAGATCAATCAATAAATAAAACCTAATCACCATCAAGGAAACGACATAGTAAGCAGAGTACCAGTCACATGACATAGAAGCCCCACAATTTAAAGTAGTCTTCAACGCTGCAATGAAAGAACATTTTGTAAGCCTTATTGTTCACAAACAAGACTAGCTGTTCTTTTGTAACCTTCATGTACTTATAATGCCCTATTCATAACACAAGGACTTGTCACCCTTCACACAAAAGTCCCTGTTGAAACAAAGGGGTTTGCATTTCTTTTCTTTTTTTTTCTCTCAGTGGCAAAAAGTGCTAAAAATAATTTATCCAATGTTAATAGCAGAAAGGGTGAGCCAAAGCAGCATCAAGCCATTTGGACCAGGATTTGGGATTTCTTTACAAAATATGCACAAGCAGTTAGCCTCAAAGACTGCAGACCTGGCCCAGTGGAATTCAAGTACAGCAAGTCAGTCCGACTGAACATGTCACTGCCTTTTCAGAGGCAGGAGTTAAACTCCTGTCCTCGAATGACATTACTTCTAAGCAGAATAGAAACAAGGATAGTCTCACCAAAGATAGGAACTGTTTTACACTTTAGGCAATTACAACTTTGGGTCTGTTTCACAGATTAATAACTCACCGCTGTGAAAGCTTCAGGGTAGTCACTAAAGGACAGGGCTTGAATTCTTATTCATTTAGTTGGCCATTGGAATACATTGTATATTTCTGGAATATCAACCGTAGCAAAACCAGTAATTATCTACAGTACACAACCTGCACTGAATAGATTGCAAGGGAAGCACATAGTTGAATTTTGGGAAGATGATGCCTAGGAAGCTTTCTGTACATTCATGTCACCAGCATTTAGAGTCACAGTTGAAGTTAAACTAGTACTATTCTGCTTTGCTGTTTATGTAATACAAAGCGTCCCTATACAAGTTACCTTTTCCCCAGGGATGCGCAGGCAGAAGCCCAACCCTGCTACCTGCATTTTGACTACCAAGGAAATAAGCGCAAAACGTTAGAAAAATACGAGACAAGAAAAAATTTGAGATAAAAATATATACCTTTGGTTAAAAACCATCCCCTTTATAATAGTCTCTCAGAACCCAGCTAAGAACAAAAAAAGCTTCACTCCGACTGAACAGTAGTAAAATTAGTTCTAACCAGCTCATCTTCCCACCCCAAAGAAAACTTCTACAATGTCAGTAAGGTTGCAGGTTCTGCACAATTTGTTGTCCAGTATCTATAAGGGTCACTGTATTTGCAGCAAGAAATTATTTTAATTTTCCACCAAAAAAAAAAAAAAAGGTTGTAGCGCAGGATCTTTCACCAACAGTCTTTACAAAAGATGAGCTAGAAGAATTTCTTAATCGAAAAACCGTTGAAACATGTACTTTTCTTCAGATACTGAATATCCAAACTTCTTATAGAAAGCCACATTTTTTGGCAGACACTCCAGAGTAATTTTGTAACAGTTCAGTCTCTTACTTAACAATGTAAGGGTAGACATTAAGCTGAAAAGAGACAAACACACCCAAACAACAGTTATTTAAAACAGCGCTGCATCAGTTAGCCTTTAATTCAGCAGGAGGAACACAAAACACTTCAAACTACACATGTATACTATTCACGGTGAAGCCCACAGTGCAGCGCAAGGGCCAAGGTGGGGACCACATGCAGTAACGGGGGGCGAAAGGGGAGTGCAGCTTGGGGGCCTATGGCTAGCACTAGTGTGGTTCCCCCAGTGCGGCCTGTGTCACATGAGGCTCTTGACCCCTTAGAAGTTGGACGGCCATGTATTTAAAAAAAAATGTTACTTCCATGAATTAAACAGATTAATTATTCACATGGAAAATGTGGAGTATTCATTTCATCATGCTTAGTGCGCACTTGTAATCAGTCACGCAATGAGAATGTTTAACATGGGATGGAAATATATCATTGAGTAGATACTCTTAACCCTACAGTACTGAAAACTTTACAAAACTCTTTTTCTCTTCCATCTGCCTTGGATGATTATACAGTAGACTGGATAGCAAACTGGCTCAAGAGTTGCACTCAGAGTGGTGGTGGATGGGTTGGTGTCAACCTGCAAGGATGTGGGCAGTGGAGTCCCCCAGGGCTCAGTTCTGGGGCCGGTGCTGTTCAACATCTTCATCAGTGATCTGGATGAGGGGGTGGGCTTATTCGACCTGGAGGGATGTGGGCAGTGGGGTCCCCAAGGGCTCGGTCTGCAGCCCACACTGTTCAACATCTTCATCAGCGACTTGGACGAGGGGGTAAAAAGCACCTGTTCAAATTTGCTGAAGACACTAAGATGTGGGGGGACGTGGGCAAGCTAGAAGGGAGGAATAGGTTACAATCGGACCTAGACAGGTTACAGGGGTGGGCGGACGAGAATAAGATGGGATTCAACACCGACAAGGGCAAGGTGATGCACCTACGGGGAAGAACCAGCAGCATACCTACAGGCTGGGGAACTCCCTTCTCATCAGTGCAGAGGCAGAAAAGGATCTTGGAGTCATCACTGATGCCAAGATGAACATGGGCCGGCAGTGTGGGGATGCAGTCAGGAAAGCCAACCGCACCTTGTCATGCATCCACAGATGCATCTCGAGCAGGTCCAGGGAGGTGATCCTCCCCCTCTATGTGGCACTGGTCAGGCTGCAGCTGGAGTACTGCGTCCAG